AAAAAAAAGCAACGTGAAGGAAAGCTCATCGAAGCGTAAATGCAAGATGCAATAACAACCAACCATCAATGGAATAGACGGCGATTTCGCCATTTCCACCAAACTTAACACCCAGAACCAGCAGCCTTTTATTGTCCACACTAAACTGCGAAGACAGAGTACGCTCCCATCCAAGCGCATCGTCCATATACCTTTCGTCCAACAAGTATACAGGGCTTGTCGCCGTCCAAATCTTCAGAAAATTCGTTTATAGTCAGATAAAATTCATCCTATGACCGAAGATTATACACTTTACAATCAGCTCAGCGAAAGGCCTAGATTCCGAAGTAGCCAGATCTAAGCTTAAACGATTTTTCCAATGACACAATTGGATCTCGACTATTTGAAAATGAAAAAGAATCAGATAAACTCACCTTAAAGGAAGCGTCGCAGGCAGTAGTGCAAAACAGCTGCCCATCGTTGGAGAATGCAACATGGGCTAAGCCATCTGGACAGTCGCGCAAACTCTCGGTAAGAATTATCGGCGGCTCAACCTTCAGCAACTTGTATTCGTCGATCCATCGTGCACGGACCTGCTCAATTTCGCTTCTTATGAATAAGCTCGTCTGCGCAATTCGAGTCAATTTTTTCTCAGTGAACGATTTTGATGGTCCCACATTTGCTCCTCTTCCAGTCAATCCTCCCTGCTCACCACCACTACGAAAAGGATTAGGACAACTGCCCACCCATCCCTTAGCGAATATTATCCAAATATTAATTAAAACGTCATTCATGTTACTCTCGAAGGGGAGCAATGACTACCCAGAGACACTGCGTCCTAGTATGCCGCCAACAACGCCTATAGGCCAGTCGAAGTTTTCACGGTCTGCTATTCTGAAAGTTGCGACTTCCCACAGAGTGCCAATTTATTACGGAAACGAATTGCACTGGAGCTCAACACATTATGAACAATCACGAAATCAATTGTTACCTTTTTTTCTGCTTCGGTGTTTCGTGTGAAATCCCTGTAAAATAAATGTTTCCATAGCGAATCGTCTTCGCTGACCCGTCTCCAGTGGTAGTTCACATTACCAAGGCGCGCAAGCTCTCTTGCCTCTAGATGTGAGAATATCATTAGCAGTAACTCGCTCGGCAAACTCCCCCATCCTTCCATTCATCAGATGACTGGAACAATATCAATTAACTAAACTGCTGATACTCTCTGTCTCGCTTTGCAGCTGCCGGTAGGCTTGTGCCCCGATATTTCAAAAGTGCTAGCATCACTTTGCCATCAAAATGAACAAAATTTTAGCAACACTGGTCTTTCCAGTGCCGATATGAATCAAGAATCGAGTCTGAGGGTATGTGCCACGTTGTGACGACAGTTCAGAAGATGTCCAGCAACCGGACTCAACCAATCGACTTTAAATTAAAAAAATCTAACATGGGACAAAATTTCACAAAAACAACCAAAATCAAGGCCTCACGATCCGTGTGCATGAGCATTGCTCACTGCTGCTATACCAAACCAAGTTCACTCATTTGCGCACCAACGAAAGCAAATATCACTCAAAGCAACGATTTTCAAGACTTCCACAACAAATAACAAGCGAAAAGTTAAAACTGCATCCACATCCCCCTCTCCGTGACAAGCAAAAGCATTCGATGTGGACATGGCTACTAGAATAAACAAAGTTTGGTATTTATCTGGAAAAGAAAGTAGCTAAAATCCAGCATCAAATATTAAGGAGAAAAATAAATATAGCAGTAATTACAGCGATGAGTAGCTTTGAATGGCACTGCTCGTGGCCAAGCCCTGACCCGCTACGACGAATGCACGGAGCAGACTAGCTGCGACAAATCTGATATATCTTAGCAGACCATATCTATTCACTTTTCTGCCCTTTAGAAACCCAGGACATCCAACCGAGAAATTTTGGTTCGATCCGAAAGTATTTAAATTCCCAGTAACTTGCGAGTAACTGGAGGCATGCAACTCAGGCCAACAGGATCTAAATAGCTATTCTCCTTAAGGCATACTTACATTAGACCACCCCACAAATCCCCTGGGTAAAACTGGTGGTCTTAATGCAAATTACAATTATTCAAAATGATAAAAAACAGAACTGTTTGCAATGGCACATACAGAAAAAAAAAACAGAGAGGGAGTTGCCCCCAATCAAACAACAATGTAATCATATAAGCACCAGGAATAAAGGACTGCCCAAACAGCCCGAATGAGAATCCTGTGTTAATTATGCCAAGTGTTATGATTCCATACGTCGTCCACAGGCCTTTCAGTTCTGAGCTCCTATCTGTACCCACTACTCACTAAATGCAGGTATGTCACCTCTTTGGAGACCATCAGAGCGCCGTTAATTTTTCCGTGGATGCCACTCACTAATATGAGACCTCTACCGGCTGTCATCAAGGCCAGCACACCCTATCTATAAAATTTTACTCCCTCACGCAGGCACAATATCCCGAATCCCGTTGAACTGGCACAGAGACTGTTTATGATGGTCAATGAGACACTTCAAGAAAACCAAAACGGCCAAGAAGTCGCGGCCAAGATATCGAGATTCTGCAACCCGGCCTCAGAATACATCAGCATCGTACTTCTGCTATCCTCAATGGCCAATTCTCGCACCGTATGTCACCATCTTCAACACAATGATATTAATAAATGGCAACGCGCACCAGGCTAGCCGGTGCGATCATGCGTTTTGTGCAATTCAGCCC